TAAATTAATTTATTAACGTTCCAATTTACACGGTTGTCTAATAAAGTTCAATTTATCACAGCACAGCAAAATAAAATATCGAATATGTACGATAGAGAGAGCGTGGCTCACCAAACGACCCCCACAGTCAGTTCACTTCATATTTACTCTGCAATAGATAACAGCAGCAGCTGAAAGAGATGCATGCAAATATATATAGTACACTTCCTTCAATTCATAATAATTTGTTAATGACTTGGATATTTTCTCTTTCCTTTTATAAGAAATAATAGTACTCCACTCTTGTTATTGCATATTCATAGTTTTTTGTGTACTAAAAAATATGATATTGAATATCATCGACAAAGTTTTATGGCACATCTATTGAGCATGACAATACGACGTTAAGACCACTGGCATTTTTAGGTTTGACAGAACTATTTATAACATCTCATTTAATTGGCGAATTATTATTATTGTTATTAATATTTTGTGAATAAGAGGAATCACGCAAAATAAGCATGGTACAATGTGATATAGCCGACCTGAACAACTCGGTAATTATCCGGTCCAGAAGAGCGAACGTTAAGATGGCTCGGATAATTAATTAGGCTCGAGCTAAGGTCCTTGGAAGACCTGAGCAAGAGCTACTATGGTGCATTGCATTGTAGATCAAACAGTTTTGCTATGAAGCCAACAGTTGGCTCCATAGTGGAGCCAACCTTCTATATACAACAAATAAACCTACCATGTTAATAAAATTATATTAATGTTATTTAAGTAATCAGAGAATATGGTAAGTTTATTTGTTGTATATAGAAGGTTGACTTCACTATGAAGCCAACTGTTGGCTTAATAGCAAAACTCGTAGATCAATATATATATATATAGGTTGTGTGTGAGATCTAAGAGGGGCGTGACATATTTGAAATGCTTACCTTTAAAGGGAAGGAGTCTATATATATTTACAGAAAGTAGATTAAATTATATTTTGAAAAGATTTTTACCAAATTTGGTGAGATTTCAATTATATCTATACTTATATTATAAGGGATGGTATTTACGAAATATAGCAGGTTGAAAAGTCAACCTTAATTAATGATTTGCTATTTTTATCAATCATTTAATTAATGCATCTAATATTTTTGGTATGCAAATCAAATTAACATTTAATTAATTCCTAAAATATTGGATATGCAATATTAATTTAGGAATATCCACGTAGTTCCTAAAATGTTGGTATGCAATACGTAAAAGAAGATTTTTTAAGTTTTTTAAATATAAAATATTGCAACACGTAAAACTATTCCAGTTATTTTTTTTTATTTTATTTTACATATAAAATTTAATCAATATTTAAAGTATCCTACAAAATTAGATTTAGTTTAATTCTCCATACAATTGGTTGTAACTTTTTCAGTTGTACATTTATTTATTTATTTATTTTACACTTTTAAATTAATGAAGCTCTCCGAACATTATTAGGTAGTTTCAAACATTATTTGTGAATAACATAGAATATTTTAGATGCTTTTATAGATGTTATAAAATATTTTAAGTATTTTTAATATTTATATATCACACTTAAAAAAAATATTTTTCCAAAAAAAAACATTAAATACACATTGTAAATGTTAATAAAAACAGTCTTCAGTATTCATCTTTGATTTTGTCAAAACAAATCTCATAAAATCGGTGAAGTCAAAATTTGTACGTAAAGTCTATCTATACTAAAAAAATGTAGATTCAAAATTCTTTATCTAATTTCTTCTTTTTCTTATGTAATTCCTTCTTATTATCTAATTGTATAGAAATCTGTTCTAATTTTGTTCAATCCTCTAATTGTATTTGTATCATATCCCATAAAATCGGTTTGACAAAAAAAATCCCATAACATCCGATAAGTAAAAAAAAGTACGTAAAATCTTTACTAACATAAAAAAGGCTTTATTTATTATCTAATTTATTATCTAAATGTATGGAAATCTGTTCTGATTTTATAGTACGTACTACAAATTGTGCACCCGTGTTCAGGAGCTACTTAACGGGCAAGCTATGTGGAAATAACTCATTTAGTGCTTCTGTCCCGTGCATACGGTATGTATTTGTATTACACATACTAGAAAATTGTGCACCCCGTGCATCGCACGGACTCTGTATTAATAAATGACCTTAAAATTGTGCACCCCGTGCATCACCCGTGTTCACATTTTGGCCTATTACATGTCACGTACTATTTATATCCCGTACATTTTTTTTATTCATTTTTATAATTATAAGACTTGATAAATAGTCTTAATTTTGTGAACCCCGTGCATCGCACGGGATCTGTACTAGTTGTGAATTAATATGCATTTCACATGTATTGAAAATCTCTTATCTCATTTTTATTAATCTCACATGCGCGTAGCCACACGAAAAATCTTTACTTGTGTACGCAATTAACTTGAATGTCAGAGTGTTTACATCAGAAGTCCTTTTATGCTTTGCAATTCGAGAGCAAGAAATCAGCCAGCGTGGTGAAGAGAGCATGATCTCTATGGTCCAAAGGCGGAGGGCTAGTGTAGGCTCTAACCTCATGTAATTTTTATATTTTTTTTTTCAGTTTTAAGATGTACTATTTTATTATGTAACCCCATATAAATATTTTTTCTGCCCAATTTAGTTCCTATATATTTAGAAAGAAACCCAATAATTTATTAGTTTTAATCATTCTCAATAGGTGAAGGNAAGAAACAAATTATTGCTTATCCTAAATTTATTCGTAAGAAGGTTTGTTGATTAATGTTTGTTTTAATTGAGCTATGAAGATATTTTTTATGTTATGAGTGCTAATAGGAATTGATTTGTATGAGAAATGTAGAAATATAATTAGTTTGAATTCATACACACAACTTGTTCGATGAAAGCACAACTAAACATTTGAGACAATATAATTTAAATATTGTACAGACGAAGAATTGTATATATTTGGACATGATTTCAGTCTCTATATACTTTTCCTTATAGTTTAACATGTTTTTTTTTCTTCTTATTGTTTTCCGTTTTATTTTGGTTAAATCTTATTGAGTCCTTTTAATCGAGATAATATTGTTTATTCAAGTAAATTATATTACGTTGCATATGGAATATATATATATCAACTACTTTGTATTTTAATTTTATATAACTTTTTTCTTCTAGAACTCCACTAGAATATTTATTTCATAATTAAATTTATGAATTTTCATAATTTAGTTTTGACATTCACTGAATTTTTATAATATATTTTTGTTTATTTAACTTAGTAATTCGTGTAAATTGTTAGAATATTTAAAAAGATTATTTTCATATTTTGATTTCTTTATGCTTGGCATCTAGCTAGAGATGTTATTCGAGTCGAACCAAGCCAAATATCTCATGTTCGAACTTGTAATTATTTAATAAACAAATTTAATTATGTGTTCGAGCTTAGCTTTTTAAAGTGTATCAACTGAGTTGAATTTTCACAAGATGAATTGAGTTGTTTTCGTAAATAGTTTGCTTTAAATAATAGTTCAATGTTAAGTAGCCCCGTTTAAAA